AACCACTGTGCCCATTCTTTCTTGTTTATTTTTTTAAAAAATCCTATATGCCTTTTATTGATAAATTCTTATAGGACATTAATAATTAGCATTAGTTATTAGGAAAATATAAAGAAGAAGAATAAAGGCCATTAGTAATTGGAGATAACCACTACTATTTGGCATGTTTTTGTATACGTGCATAAAAATACATGAAATTAAAATTAAGTTTTGTTTTTGGTCAGTTGTAGGGCTTGAACTCTGGACCTGGGCACTGTCTCTCAGCTCTTCAGCTCAAGGTGAGTGCTCTTGAGCCACAGCGCCACTTCCAGTTTTCTGGTGGTTAATTGGAGATAAGAGTCTCAACAGACTTTCCTGCCTGGGCTGGTTTTGAGCTGGGATCCTTAGATCTCAGCCTCCTGAGTAGCTAGGATTACAGGTGGGAGCCACCGGTGCCCAGCTGAAATTAAAAAATTTTTTGAGGCGGGGAGTTCTTGGGCTTGAACTCAGGGCTGACAATTGCTAAGCAGGTGTTCTGCTCACTTGAACTATACTTCAACCTTTTTTGCTTCAGGTCATTTTTAAGATATGGTATTCTGTTTTTGCTCGTTTTTGCTCTGAGCTGGTCTATACTTTATTCTCCTGTCTGTGGCCTCCCAAATATCTGCAGCCACACACAGACAGGTGTGTACCACCACACTTAGCTTATTGGGTGAAAGGGAATCTACTAACTCCCTTCCCCACTGTGGGCCTCCTGGTCTCTTGAGTGAAAAAGCTATGTAAGATAGGAGAGGTCCAGGAAGCTGAGATCTGAAGATCGGACTGTTTCAAGCCAGCCTTGCCTTGGCAGGAAAGTCTGTGAGACTCTCTGTCTCCAATTAGCCACCAAAAAGTTGGAAATGGAAGTATCACTCAAGTGGTAGAACAGTAGACATGAGTGAAAAAGCTTAGTGACAGTGCCCAGGCCCTGGGTTCAAGCCCCAGGACGGGTGGGGTCAGGGGTGAAAGAATGGGAGGCCCTGAGTTGATCCTTCAGTACCTGCACACAGACAGACACAAACTGAAAGACATGTGCATGCACCGCCCCTCCCAACATACTCACACACCCACACACCCACCCCAAACTGAAGAAGAAACAAATCCCTCAAACTGTATAGTATTGTTTTATGGATGTAACCTAATTTACTATTTACCCATAATAATTGATAAATGTGATGAACTCTAGAATCAAGTTAATAAGGTCTCAATGTAAAGTACAGCATCAGGGCTGCACTTTTGCTGAGTCTGTGCCTTGGAGCACTATGTTCAGGATGAGTAAGGTACAGGAAATTTGGTATTTTCACAGATATATTTTACTTTTCTGCCCAGGTTGGCTTCAAACCTCAATCCTCAGAGTCTTTGTAAATTTATTGAAGTATAGTTTTTGCTCAGCAAAATGGCATCTTGAACTGACATTTGAGAATTGAATTAACTCAGTTACAAATGTAGTGATTAGGCTGAGTATGGTGGTACAGGTCTGTAATCCCAGCACTGAAGAGTCAGGAGGATCAGGACTTTGAGTTGAACGTGGGCAACATATTAAGACCCTGTCTCAACACACACATAGAAATGTAAGGAGAAAGCATATTGACATGTATTGACAGTTTATAAATTTAGAGTAAACGACTAGCTTTGGAAGTAGGAAGTGGAAGTATTTTGAGAATATTCAATTAAAGTTATATGAATCCTACAGAAGATGAGTGGTAGAAATATCGGTTATAAAATTTCAATTGTTTTCAAAATTTTGCTTCAGTCATCTGAAGAATTGAACTTCTTTTTTTTTTTTTTCCAGTCATGGGGCTTGAACTCAGGGCCTGGCCACTGTTCCTGAGCTTTCGCTCAGGAAACTCACTCTACCACTTGAGCCACAGCACCACTTCTGGCTTTTTCTGTGTATGTGGTGCTAAGGAATTGAACCCAGGGCTTCATGCATGCTAGGCGAGCACTGTACCACTGAACCACTTTCCCAGCCCTGAACTTCTTAAAGAAAGGAGAAGCTACTATATTTGAAGATTCTTCTAACCCTTGAAGATTGGTTAAGGAGCTGAGTTGCTGGAATACTGGCTAGTGGTTGGAAAAGGAGTTTTTCAGTCTTGTGAGGCAGAAGCTCTGACCATTTGCTTCCTCTTGTGCAGTTAAGCTTATTTGTGATAGTTTGAAAAAAATATTAAGTCTTTATTACAAATAGAATATAGTTTAAAGTCTTGAATGTATCTTAAATAAAGGTCAGTAAAGGAATTGCTGATAATTTCGGCAAGTTAGAAAAAAGGAAGCAAAGAAAGTAAGATGCATACGAAGAGTGAAAGGTAAACTTATTTTTGTCCCATTTGTGAATGAGATGAGTGTCCCTACTGAAAGGCAAATGTTCAGGTTGGGCTATTCATAATTTAAAAAAATCACAGAAAAATGAAAAGTAACAGTAAAAATCCTAGATAGTTAAAAAAAATCTAGATGAAGTTTGGAAAGCGATAGTAGGTAAAGGATATCCAAGATAATTTCAGAAAAGTTCAAAGCAAAGCAAAGAAAAACATACTTTTTCAATGGAGGGAGGAGTGTGTGATACAAGTTCCCTTAATGGTATAATAGAAAACTATGAAATGATAATGTGCTTTTAGAAAAAGATGTGTCAAAGTTGTTTGTATTCAAAACATAGCTAAACGTGCAAATAAAAATTCGTTTATATTATGACTGATCCTTTCCCAAAATAGCTTTTGTCTCTCCAGGAAAAAAAATTCTTACTATGTGGTTAGAAGATTTCCCTATTGCAGATATTCTAAGACTTAAATTTTCTGTGTGTTTCCATTTACCCTATGTCTAAGTAAACTTGACCAAATTTAGTTCTGAAAAAAAAAATCAGTTTTCAAATGTTTTGCCTGGAAGCATCCAGATCAAATTTTGTTTTCAAAAGAGCCTTTTTATATCTTAAGAATTAGATATTTCAAATTCAAATGAGCTTAGTGTTATAGTATCTCAGATAAGAGCTAGGGTTTATTTTTGTTTTATCATTGTAAATAAACTACAAAATTCCAAGATTCTGTAGTTCTTTTTTATAGAATTTGCATTATTTGTTCAAATCATAGTTTTAAGATTTTTTTTGCATTTTGCTTGTGATCTACTCTTGATATTACACAAGCTTGTGATACATACATATATATATATGTGTATATATATATATATATATATACACATATATATATACACTTTTTTTCTTTTGTTGTTTAACCAGTCCTGGGTCTTGAAGTCAAGGTCTAGATGCTGTTCCTGAGCCTTTGTGTTAAAGGCTAGTGCTCTATCACTTGGCTACTTCTGGCTTTTTCTGAGTTGTTTATTGGAGATAGGAGTCTCATGGACTTTCTTGCCCAGGGGGAACTGTACTGCAATCCTCAGATCTCAGCCTTCTGAGTAGCTAGTGTTACAGGCCTGAGCCACCAACATCTAGCTTACAAAATATATTTTAAGATTAACAGATTATATATATTATACATACATACATGTATATACCTACATATATATATGCATATATATATATATATATATACACATACATACATAATTTGGAATCAACTTTTGGTTTAGGTCAGGTTTTGAATTGGTGGCAAAATAGAGTATAATAACCACTGACACTTGTAAAATGCCTTATTTTATAAAGCATACATATATTTACAACTTTTTATGTTACTAATGCATGTGGTGCAGCAACAGTTGGATTATCAGTTCTCATTTTGTGAATCATGGATCTAGTCCAACAACAAAATACAGGCAAACAAGTGCAGATGGAACATTCTTTTTTTCCCTTCAAACTGAGAAACACACTCCAAAGATGTCCCATTTTTCTACATTAGGAAGCATATGGCTGTATAATAACTGGTTTATGAGTGATATATACAAAGTCATTGGTTAAAGCAAGTTGTTTAGATTTTGGGTTCCTATATTGTGATCTAATATTTGCACTGTTTATGTGACCCCCGCCTCCATTTCTGGCTTTAAATTAATCCATAATTGTAGGCTTAGAGTAAAAAGTTTATATAAAATGTTCGATGAGAAATGTACTCATTGCCTTACTCATGCAATTGTAACCCCTCTGTACAGCATCTTTACAATAAAATAAAATAAAAAAATGTATATAGTTGAATTCTGTTTTGCTAATTTTTTTGTCTAGATAGCAGACTAGCATTTTTCCTCTAGTAAAATGTATTAATCTTAATAGTTGTTGGGATGATTTTGATAGTGTCAACATCTTTTATCATGTGAATTTTCTATATGTTAAAAGCTCTATTCTCTTGAGATAATGGGAACTAAAGATTGAAGTGTGAGGAATTTGCCAGGAACTTTACACTGCTTCAGTGTATGCTATGCCAAGGTGTAGATCTATTTTGTCAATAACAAAATGTTATCATTTTTTCACTCACTATTTATCCATACTTAAAGTTTTGTTTACATTGTAGAAAATGTTAATTGGTTTATGTTGCCATTACAGAGTAAAAAGAAAGTGGTATATATATATATATATATATTTTTTTTTTTGTTGTTGTTGTTGTTGTTGGTCCTGGGGCCTGAACTCTGGGCTTGGACACTGTCCCTCAGCTCTTCAGCTCAAGGCTAGCACTCAACCACTTGAGCCACAGCGCCACTTCCGGCTTTTTTCTTATTCAAGTTATTCTATGAAAGGATCAATACCATAGAATAATAAAAGTTTGAATTGCTAGAAGCTTAGAACTCAATTTTAATAGGCCAAATAATGTTAAAAGGAAGAGATACTTATTGTATAATTAATAAAGCTAGAGTATTATATCTGTGTCTTTGAGACATTTTCTTTTTTCTTTGGAATTCACATCTTCTACTTGAGCTTACATGTTATTGCTTACTTTGAATATGTGTTTGTTTTTCAATCATATTGAAATGACTGAGTTTCTTTTCAAATATTTGCTGTATTTGCTTCTCAGGCCATTATTATCATTGTTGTTGTTACTATTATTTTGCAGCTGGGACATTTTAGAGATGAATAGCAAAAAATTGGAAACACCACCACCACAGCGTAAATTTCCTGAATGGATGGTGTCTATGCAGAATAAAGGATGTACTGAAGAGGAAAGAAAGGTATATTTATTGATTATTCTTTAAACTGGGAAGTTTAATTTATATTTTAGTGGATAATGAGTTATCCCTTACTTTTAAATTTCAGGTCCTTATTTAGGTAAGACCCTTTCTGTTATGTGAGTGAACCAGGATGCAGTTATTGAATGAGTCAATAGAACAAAGTATTATTTAGTTTACACAATGAGAATTCTTACAGTATACTTTCTCTGTATCCAGTTTTCATGATTGACTTTACTAATTCTAGTTAACAATTTAAATGTTAATATTGGTGAAGTTTTTGGTTGAGTTTAAGTCCTGTACAGACTTAAGATTTGGTACCAGGAGTCGGGTGCTGGTGACTCCCACCTGTAATCCTAGCTACAGAGGAGGCTGAGATCTGAGGATCACTGTTCAAAGCCAGCCTGGGCAGAAAAGTCCATGAGACTCTTATCTCCAATTAACCACTAGAAAACCAGAAGTGGTGCTGTGGCTCAAGTGGTAGAGCGCTTGTCTTGAGCTGAAGAGCGCAGGGACAGCTCCCAGGCCCAGAGTTCAAGTCCCACGACTGACAAAAAAAAAGAAAAAAAAAAAGAAAAAAAAAAGATTTGGTACCGGAATCAGCATATGAAGGCCACATTAAGGCTGGAAATCTGGCTTACTGTTAGAGTGTTTGTCTAGCATATATGAAACCCTACTCTGGGTTCTATTCCTCAGTACCACATAAACAGAAAAAGCCAGTAGTGGCGCTGTGGCTCAAGTGGTAGTGCTAGTAAGCAAAAGAAGCTCAGAGACAATGTGCAGGCCCTGAGTTCAAGCCCCTAGAATAGTAATATCCTTTTCAGAAAAAAATCAGTAAATTAAATGGTTTCATAAAATAAGATTAGAAATTGGAAAACAGAATGACTGGGAATAATTTTGTAATTGGATAGCTTTATTATTGTTAATTGACCATTCGTTTATAAAGTATTAACTGGTAAAACTTAGAGGTATAAATTAAATGCTTCAATGGTCTTTATTTCAGTGAACATTTATTATTTTATATGAACTTTACAACTATTCTAAATTTTACTTAACTCAAGGCATATATTCAGAAGAGTGTTTTTGAAGATGACCTCCCCTTCTTAGAATTCACTGGATCCATTGTTTATAGTTATGAAGCTAGTGATTGCTCTTTTCTATCAGAAAATATTAGGTAAGAGGTTTGAATTTCTTAATTTCACTAAATCTGAGCCTTTCAAAGATATAATCTTCTAGGATTTGCAAGAATCCTGAGTAATAATTGTAAGAATACTGATTTTACAGTTGCATACATACAGAGAAAATTATTTGTACACATAGTACACAAAACTTTGTACACAAAGTTTTTCAAATTAAAAAAATTAAATTTGTAATGTACTTCTGTTCATTGATAAACTTTTCTATTGCTTTAGATATATATATATATATATTTACTTTTAAACTTAGGATGTGATATAGAGAGCTGTTAGACATATTGTGTGTATTTTAGCAGTTTAGAAAAAATGCAAAGTATAACATGCCTATTTATGTCTTCCTAAAAATACCAACATAATGTATTAATTAATGGTTATGATTAGATCTATTTTATTTGGTTTGTGGCAGTTAACACCAAATAATTCTTTAAAAAAATACTAGAAATTACACTTAGTACTTTCAGTATTTGTCTCGTTTGTTTTCTGCTACCGTAACAAAATTTCCTCAGAAGAAATCATTTATGAAATATACAAATTTATTTCTCAGTTTTGGAGTCTAGGATCTCCGCACTATATTGGTACTTGCCTTTGTGATATATTATAAAAAGGTGTCCATACTCTTACAGTAACCAGCTTATCTCTGAGATAGGATTGTTAACCCATCCAGGAGGCAGAGAGCCCTCATGACCTCTTTACCTCTTATTAGGCCCCATCTCCTAACAGTATTAACAGTATTTGCAGTTAGGATTAAATTTTGACGTGAGTTTTGGAAGGAATAGCCAAGGTACCTTGTTATAATGAAAAGTAAGACTTCTGAAGTATTTTATAATAACAAGTAGTAAGATCTTTGAAATAAAACTGTCCTTTTATTTTTAAACTGTTATACATTGTGTTAAAATAGAAGTAAATAAAGCTATTTATTAATGTTCTCCTAGTGGTAGATCTAATCTAGAAATAGTATGCAGGCGTTCTTACTTCCCCTCCTGTTAATTGGCTACTTTTGGGTCTCATAGTGACTCAAATTTGACACACAGAAAAGGTCAAAGCTACTTGTCAGCTGAGATGAATTGCAGATTCTTGGTCTCACCAAAAAATTCAGGAGCATACACACAAAGGAGGTCCAGCAGCAAGATGTATATAAGCTTCTGGGCCCGTGGCTTGTGCCTGTAATCCTAGCTACCCAGGAGGCTAAGATCTGAGGATAGTGGTTCTGAAGCTGGCCAGGGGAAGAAAGTCTGTGAGATTCTTACCTCCAATTAACCACCAGAAACCTGGAAGTAGTAGTGGTAGAGCACCAGCCTTGAGCGCAAAAGCTCTGGGACATGACCCCCCCCAAAAAAAAATTGAGGGGAAACAAATTGACCAAGCAATCAAGCAGTGTCCTCAGGGCTTAGGCACTTTTATGAGCTGTAGATGATATGATAGCATTGATAGGATGTACATAATTATTTAGTTTTCCAAGAAATGGGAGAATGGGAGGACACTTTCAAGAACTGGGAGATGCTTACTTAGGTGTCCTCTGAGTAAAGATGATGGATGATTGAGGGAAGGTGCATGCATGAAAGTACATCTATATAGTTAAGACCTCTCGCCCACCTTTAGGGTCTAGAAAGTTCTTGCTGGTATTTGTAGAACTGAGCAGAGAGGAAAGGAGGTGAGGGAAGAGGAGAGGTCTAGAGAGATAGAGGGAGAGGCAAAGGCGAGTTAGTAATAAGAGAAGAGGAGAGGAAAAAAGGAGGCAATGGAGAGGAAAGAGAGGAGAAAGAGAGAAGGATAGGAAAATGAGAGGGAGTGGGAGAGGGAGGAAGAGAAGATAGGGATAGGGAAAGGGAAGGAAGAGGGAGAGTAGAGAAACGGTTTTCAACTGTAACTCCAGGGCAGTGTTGGTTTATTTTGTTTTGTTTTTTTGATCAGTGGGGTTTGAACTCTGGGCCTGGGCGCTGTCCTTCAGCTCTTCAGCTCAAGGCTAGTGCTTTACCACTTGAGCCACAGCGCCACTTCTGGCTTGTTCTGCTTATGTGGTGCTGAGGAATCGAACCCAGGGCCTCATGCATGCAAGATAAGCACTCTAACACTGAGCCACCTTTCCAGCCCCTCCAGGGCGGTGTTGGAACAATAGTTTTGGTAAAACTGACATAGAGATGGTGCTATACCTCCTCCCTGCCTCCTTGGTGTATTTTTCTTTTTTAAAAGAAGTATTTTTATCGTAAAGAAACTGTACAGAGGGGTTACAGTTACATGAGTAAGGTAATGAGTACAATTCCTATCCAGCATTGTTACCCCCTCTTTTATTTTTCTCCTACCATCTCTTCCCTCCCCACTTCCCCAGCTTCCCCCCCCCCAGTATTGTTTTTCTTTTTGCCTACTCCATATAATTTACATGATGATATTAGCTTCACCATGTTACCCTTGGCATTGATCTAGTATGTGATATATGGAGGCAGTAAACTTGAAGAATTGTAGTTTTGATGAATATATTTTATAAAAGGCTTTGTTTTTTGTTTTGAATCCATCCTTATCTATTTAAAAATTTTTCCATCATAGCTGTTTTTAAACGATTTGATTGTAATATGCCTTTGTGTAGTATAGCTTTTGTTCATCTTGCTTGTGATTAAGTTTTATTTCTTCAAATAAATTTTTTCTTTCTCTGGGACTGTAAATACTCACCAGTTAGTTTGTTTAATACTATTTTCATTATGTCTCTTTTTTCTTGCTATGCTTCTTTGCGATTGTTTCTTTGCTATGTCTTCAAGGTCATAATATTTTTCATCTGTTGTGTCAGATCTGCTGTTTATCCTTTGAATATTTGTAGGAATTTTTCATTTCTAGAAGTTCCAAATTAAAAAAACCGATTTCCATTTTGGTTTTCATTGTAGTTATTCTACTTTAAAATTGTTGAGCATATTTATCATTATTTACTCATTTACTTGCTTTTACTTTTAGTGGTACTGGGTTTGAACCCAGGCCTTAGGTTGGGTAGGCAGGTTTATATCTGTTGCCAGTCATATAGGGTGAAATTGTGTAGGGAGAATTAGTATGTATACATATTTATTTGGATTTATTACCATTTGAATTTTTTTCAGAATTGCTTATTCTGGATTTTTTTTTCATTTATGTGCTGGATTATTTCTCTTTTTGTCTTAATGATTTTTCAAGGAACTTTTAATACTTGCTGGATGTACTTAAAAAAGTTATGTGTATCACAGATATCTCTTACGTCTTTGATTTGTGCTTTAGTTTTCAAGTGATATCATCAGTTATGCAGAAGTTTAATTTTTTTTGTATTTTTCTAAAGAAGATTAAAGTTTTAATGCAGTTACTTTACACTGTTTTTCTTCCTTTAGCGTAAATCTGTCTGATGGGGAAGTGGTAGGATTTGACATGGAATGGCCACCCATTAATAGAAAAGGGAAACCAAGCAGAGTTGCACTAATTCAGTTATGTGTGTCTGAGAACAAATGTTATTTGTTTCACATTTCTTCTATGTCAGGTGGGTAGCTCTTTCATTTTTATATAATTGATAATTGTATAAACATTTTCTCTGAAAAATTAGGATTTTTTCTCTTTTCATCTATTTATGGTCTATGATTCATTCATATTCCATGTGTTATTTAATTTTTATAATAATACTGTGAAGCCTGTTATAGAAAAAAGAAAATAAAAGTTCAAGGTTCATGGTGAATATCTAGCAGAGGTACCATTCAAACTTAATTTTTTGTTGTTGTTGTCAGTTGTCTGAACTTTTTGCTCTAGGTTAGGATAGAATTATTAAGGTGGATGTGATTCTAAATTGAAATGTAATATATATACAAATTAAAAAATACATGTGGTATGTATAAGACGTAGAGCTAGGCTGGTGGTACACATCATAATCCCCAGCACTCAGGATCTTCCTGAGACAGGATAAGAGTTCTAGGCCTCCTAAACAGCCTGGAGAGACCTTGTTTCAACAAACAAAAGAAACCAACAAATAGAAGTATAGACAATATGCTTTATATTCAGCACATATTTTGGAAATAATAATTTAATGTTAACAGTTTTTCCCCAGGGATTAAAACGATTACTTGAAAATACAGCAATTAAAAAGGTGGGGGTAGGAATTGAAGGAGATCAATGGAAACTTCTGCATGACTTTGATGTCAAGTTGACAAGTTTCGTGGAGTTGAAAGATGTTGCCAATGAAAAGGTAGAAGTAATACATGTATTATTTTCATAAGCAAGGTAATTTTGTTTTACAAAATGTTTTTCTTTATCAGTGTTGTTTTATCTTATGTTTAAAGAAAATAGCTTTAAGCAAAAACCTTGCTGGTTTTGTGCCAGTATACATGTTCATAGTGGATTTCCATAATGAAAACCTTCATTTCTAATTCATTATCTTTATGATTAGTTTTTCTAAGCAAACATTTTTGCTCCTATCCCTGTGATTCTTGGACTATTTTCTTTTATTTCATATATTTACAGTCTAAATATATTTGATTTTTTTTAATGCACTATATTAAATACTCTTAAAGGAAGAAAATAATGCTGCCATTGTGATATAGTGCTCTTAGTCGAAATTTGACCATTTAATTTTTCAAATTTCACATATTTTATTAATGAACTCATTAAGTTTTCATATTTAGTCAGGTATTCATTTGACTGGGAAATAGAAAGCATGCTAACCCATTTGACTTTTTCACGAATAATACTTTCAAAGCCCAGATGTTTTAATCTCTATATGAGAGAAATTTCAGACTTAAATCCTACAATATAGACTACAGATGAAGTTTGTTTATTTATTTATTTATTTATTTTTTATTGTGAAAATACTGTACAGAGGGGTTATAATTACATGGGCAAGATAATGAGTACATTTTTTATCAAGCATTGTAGCCTCTTCCTTTGTTTTCCCTTCCCATCGCTTCCCATCTTCCCCCCCGCCCAATCCTCCTCCCCCCACCGAAGTTGTAGAGTTCATTTTCGTCATAACTACAGATGAAGTTTTTAAGACAGGAAATTATTCAGGACCATCTCTCAGTTGTATTTTAGTAGATTTTGAGTTTTGTTTTTGGCCTTGTCATTTGATGGTATTTAAGAATATATAATAATGGAAGTAATGTTTGTTATGTTGCTTTTTCATTACTTACAGCTGAAATGTTCAGAGACCTGGAGCCTTAATGGCCTGGTTAAACACCTCTTATATAAACAGCTTCTGAAAGACAAAGCTATTCGCTGTAGCAACTGGAGTAACTTTCCCCTCTCTGAAGACCAGAAGCTGTATGCAGCTACTGATGCTTATGTATGTACTAAAAAGATCTTTAGGTTATGATTTATTTTTTAAACTCATATATTACTTTACAAATTTTATGATAGTGGCATCATGTTGGCTTAGCTTTAAAAATGCTTAGGAAGATATGAAGTGAAATAATTCTTGATGTTAATGAGTAAATACAAATGAACAGATTGTGTAATGCTAGTTATTTCATTTTCAGAAAGTCAAAATGATACCCAATTTGAGTGTAAAATAAATGTGAACTTGACTGAGACACAAAAGGCTCAGAGTCAGCCTGCATACATGGTATATAAACAATTTAATATAAACCTGTCTATTGAAACTGGCTTTATTCCTTATATTTATATTTAAAATGTGATGAAAATTTAGAAAATTGCTTCCAAGCTTAGTTGGCTTCTGTTTTTACATATGTTTCATACTTATATGAAAAATGTGATTTTAATGTACTTTTAAATGTACTTTTAAATTTAATTTTGTAATTTTTAGCTTAGTCTGACCTTAAACTTAGCTTTCAGAGTGCTGGGAATACATGCATGTGCTATCACACCAGGCTTGGGCTTATCTTTTTAAATAACATTTTGTATATGTGTATGACTAAATTTAAGAAATATATTTTATTCAATAGTGCATTTCTTTTCTGCTAATTCATACGTGTGTGTGCGTGTGCGTGTGTGCGTGTGCGTGTGTGTGTGTGTGCGTGCGTGTGTGCATGCGTGCGTGCATGCATGTGCTGCTCTCAGAACTTGAACTCGACCTGGCTATTGTCCCTGAGCTTTTTTTTCCTCAAGGCTAATACTCTACTACTTGAGCCACAACTCCACTTCTGTTTTTTCTGGTGGTTAATTTAATAAGACTATCAGGGATTTTCCTGGCCAGACTGGCTTTGAACTGAGAGCTTCAGATCTCAGCCTTCTGAGTAGCAGGATTACAGGCATGATACTTTGCCATACTTTTATTTCTTGAGTATCTTGTCATTTCCCATTTTACATCATGTTTTGGAGTAGATACTCCTATGCTTTGAGCCAGGAAGAAGTTTATTTTTGTCAGGGAAAGAGAGTGATAGTTTTCCTTTTTTGAAAAAAAATATAGTACTGTTTTAGACTAGTACAGCTTTATAGCATCTGTGTTCGTGAGGGTTCAGTGTAATGTGATAACTCCTGTTCACAATACATAATTAAAATGACTATTCAGACACTAGCTGACATTCTCAATGCATTTAATGAAATGTGGGAAGTTAATATCTGTAAGTAAATATTTCTCTCACTAGATTTTATTTTGGTAAAATTCCATTTAAAAGCTATTTGGTTTGGATACTTGATTTTAATATTATGCTAATAGATAAAAACTTCAACTTTTAATTCTCACAACTGGAATGGTGATTAAATGAAGACATGGTCTTTGTGTAACATAATAGGTTGAACTCAATTGTTTGGGTGCTTTGTGGATTATTCTTTTTACATTCCTCTAGAAGTGGGATGTATAGTTTTTATTTTAGTTATTCTACTATATTCTTTGTTTCTATGTTTATTTTTTTTTTAGGCTGGACTCATCATTTATAAAAAATTAGAAATCCTGGGTGGTGCCATGCAAACATTTGCTAGAAATAAAGGTATGTTATGATTTAAAAATAATAGACAAAATGTAAATTTGGACTTTTGTGAGTTTTAGCTCCAAAATTAATATTTGCCTACTTATAATATGTATCACTAGGATTTCTTGAATGTTTGAAAAGTGTTGATTTTAAAGTATAATCCATCAGGGTTAACAGTAAAAGCAAAATTTATTGCTATTCTTTTGTAACATTGCTATTTTGTAGACTTCTAGAGTTGGATTTGATATCCTTTAGAGTGAGTTAGCTCAGTTTCTCTCAGGCTTATACGCCTCCCATGATTATACATCTTTGTAATAAATATTTAAAATGCTATATATATAATATGTTGAAATGTATAAGATCCTTTATAGTGTTCTGATTTAAATCACTGAATACTATTTACTGTTTTTCTCTATCAGCTTTGATGGGCTTGTCAAATGTCTTGATGAGTTAGTGATTTTGTGAGTCAGTAGAGTAGATGAATATGAACTGGGTGTTTTTTAGACAAGGTTGGAATCCCAGTTGTGTTACTTGGGCTATATCTATTTTTCTATGTTTGGAAAAATGCATACTAGGTTAAAATTCATATTGTAGAATAGTATGCATACTAAATGGGACAGACATTCTTTTTTTCAAACATTTTTAGTGCATCAATGAGTTATATAAGGGGTTATATTTGACATGTCTATATATGCATACTGTATACTTTCATACTTTGGGACAGAATATTCTAAACAGCTAGCTGTGTTAAGATATGGAAAGGGTTGTTAATGCAGGTGAGCATTACTAATCTCTAATATGAAATTATCTAGAACTTTTGGAGTATACATGTGATGTACCTATTGGTTGATATTGAAGAATGCTTCCTGGAGAAAGTGGTTCTTAAAGTAAGATCTGAAATAAGAACAGACATTACCTGGCTGAAAAATAAAGGAAAAGGGTAGTAGTACTATAAACAGTAGGCGCAGTTTCAGAGGTAAGAGAAATCATGGAACTTATCCATAGGCAATTGAAAGTTGACCTGTACAGTGAGCCATTGAGTACGATGGAGTGAGTGATGTTGTCTGCGTTCAGGAGTTTACTTTTCGTCCTAACAAGTGAAGCTGTTGTAGGTATTAATCACAAGCATGAAATCTATTCTATTTAAAAACAAAGCCAAACAGAGTCTTTAAGCTATAGTGTAGAAAATGGGTTGTAGGAGGTCAAGAGTCACTGTGGGAAGATTTTTTGGGAGCCTTTGACAGTCGACCAACTGAGATGTTGTGGTAACTTGAATCAGTTATTTTATTGAACATGGAGAGACGTGGATAGCTTCAAAATACACTTAATACTGGCTGGGAGTATTGCTTAGTGGTGCTTGCCTAGCATGCATGAAGCCCTGGGTTCCATTCTTCAGTATCACATAAATAGGAAAGGCTGGAAGTAATGTGGCTCAAGTGGTAAGAGTGCTAGCCTTGAGCTGAAGAAGCTCAGGGAAAGTGCCTAGACCCTGAGTTCAAGCACCAGGATAGGCAAACAAAACAGAAAGCAAAAGAACCCACTTAGTACCATTGTACAGCTAACAGAATTTGAGTTAACAATTCATCAAGATAATTCCTGTATTGTTCCCAACAGAATGAAAAGCACTGATGAGAAAGAACAAGTGTTTTGAGTAGTAGGGCACATACAGCCACGCTTCGGCATGGTTAAGGAGAGAAATTTCTAAGATAGCAAGAGTGAGGTGCCTCTAGGCACTTAAGTATGTACGCTGTGTCTAAGAGGAGTTTGTGAGAGAGAAAAAATTAGGACAAAAGAATACTGAGTAATTTAGTGTCTTATGTTCGTTTGGAGGAGGGGCTTTACCAAAGGAGTTGTCATAGACCTGGAAGGAAACTAGGAAGTGTAGCATGTACAACGTTAATAAAGAGCATGTATGAAGTAGGGGGAGGGTATTACCTCATTTGTAACCTTTTACTATAGTAGCTTTAGTGTACTAGTGACAAAACAAATGTTTCAAAGGGAGAGTGGGGTTCTCAGGAATGTGCTATTAAAACAAAAAAGGTCCAGGACCTTTGGTGACATGAAGGCCTTATAGCTATAGCAAGAGTAGAGTAGCAGAATGATGTGGGTAGAAATCAGATTAAGTTTAAAAATAATAAAGAGAAATTGGCTCTTAAGGGATGTTATCTTAAGAGTTTATAAACCTTTTTTTTTAAGCTTGTCTTGGAAAGGGAATATTCTTTAACCTATTTGTTGAGTATTATGTCTCAGAAATTGTTACAGCATGCTGAAGAAAGTTTGCTGAACAAAACAACCCTAGCACTTTTACTTCATTTAAATAATTATAAGCAAGCTGTATGAATATCTGAAGGGTTTAGAGGAAGGCCTCTTAGGAGATGGCTTGGAGATTGCTTGCTTTGCTTAAGGGACTGTGAGTGTAATGGACAAGGAAGGAACAGGGGTAGGATTGGTGGAAAGCAAAGCTTAGGAAAAAAAAAACTTGGGTTGCGTCGCTTATGGCATTGTATACTATGAAACTGACTTTGTATTGTATTTAAAAACTTTAAACAGTTATCTTTAGTTGTACAAAAATTTCAGTTCATCATGTCAGTTTATGAGTACAGTGGATCTTTATGTTACACTTTCTGTCCTTTTGCATCTCTTCCCACCTATCCTTTCTAGTTACCTGTTTCCATTTTCACATATGTACCTCAATATTGTGAACAGTCTTAATGTTCATATTTTATTAATGAAAATAAATATGATGATGGGTGATGGGAAGTCCTTAGAGGGTGTGGAGTAGAAGAACAATATGATTAAAATTTTATTATATGAGGATTTTTCTGGCTGTTGGAAGATAGAAAGGGTTTGGCAGGAATTAGCAGATTATTTAGGCAAGAGATGATAATTGTTTGGATTAGGTTTGTTGCAAGAGGTGGTTCAGGAATTTATCTACTCGTGAAAGATTTGCAGATGAATTCACTGTTAAAGAGAAATATACACTGATAGAATAAGATACTGTGATTAAATTAGCTGCTGAACTGAAAATCAGAGATAGTTGACGACTATAAGATATATCAAGGTCTGGTAAAGAAAATATAGGTTTAAGTGTTGGTCATGCCAGATTTAAAATGTTTTCTGTTAGCTAAGGGTGTGTCTTAGTTGAAAGGTAATTCTGGAATTCAAAGGACATGTGGAAGTTGGAAATCTAACTTTGGGAATCATATTGTATACAGATAGTATTTTAAACATTGAAGCTGCATGAAATGAAATTGTCAGCGAATGAAATAAAGAAGTACTGACATCAAGGGCACACTAAGATTTAGAGGTTAGGAGGTTAGAGAGCAGCAAAGAAGACTAAGTGGAGATATTGCTGTTCACACAGCGAGACCTGAAAACACCGTGTCTGGTAGGCAGAAAGTGGACTATACCATGTGCTACGGACAAAGTTTATTTTGAAATATCACATGATTATATACAGCCTACTGGCATAAAAAGTAAATCTTCATTCTGGGGACAGAAAGTTAAACAGACTTATGGGAATACAGATAGTGAGAGTTAATTTTTAATAAGCAGGAAGAGTTAATAATCCTTGTCAACAAATATGAAGTAGCTCCAGTGATCAAGGTTGCAAAGAATAAGCGAAGTGCTGGTGGCCTTCCTTAGACACACAAAGGGAGTCTAGAGGCATTATTCTGTGGGATTAATTGGAAGAGCCCGGATGGCACTTCCCTCAAAACTTTCATCTGAGACTTGTGGCTGGGCGTTGGACTTTTGCCCTGACTTGGAAGGGGTGTCCCCCCTCCCCTTCCCGGAGGGAATGCATGCCAGCATATTGCACCCTCATGCATGCAAGAGCTCAGATAGGGTCATGCGAGTCAGTGCCTCCGACATGGGGGCACCAGTGAAGGAAGAAAGCCAGAAACGCAGTACACAAAGAAGCCAGGTGAAGGTTCGGACATTGTGGCAAATGTCTATAATCCCAGCTGCTTGTAGAGTAGAAATGGTAAGACTTGTGATAGAGCCAGGTGCTGGTGGCTCACACCTGTAATACTAGCTACTCAGGAGGCTGAGATCTGAGGATTGCGGTTCCATGTCTGCCTAGGCAGGAAGGTCTGTGAGACTCATATCCAATTAACTTCCAGAAAACTGGAACTGGTGCTGTGGCTAAAAATGGTAGAGCATTAGCCTTGAGTAAAAAGAGTTCAGTGACAGTCCACAGGCCCTGAGTTCAAGCCCCCACAACTGACAAAAAAAAAAAAAAAAAAAGTTAGCAAGACAATATCTCAACAGACAAGCTAGGTATGATGACCCAACTACATGGGAGATATAGGTTGTAAGATTTCCATTTGAGGCTCCCCAGGGGAAAATCAAGAGCTTTTATCTGAAAAACAACTAAAAGCAAAAGAGCTGTTGGTGTAGGTGTAGTGGATAGGGCCCTGAATTCAAACCCAGTATTGCCACATAAAACAAAACAAAACTGCAAACCGGAAGAATAAAACACAGTAGAAGAAAAAAATGAAGTAGAGGACAATCTCAGAAATTGTAAATCTCTGAGTATTTGAGATGCTGATCTAGGTTTGGTAATGTGGAGGCCAGTAGTACCTTTCTAAAAGACAGCTTTGCTGTTATATTTGTGGAGAGTAGATGGGGTAGGCAAGCAGAAAGGAAATAATAAAAGAAGCCAAGGAATAGGTGCAGTTCTACATCTGGGTACATTTTACCAAACATAATTGCTTCCCAAAAAGTTCAGAGGCTGCTGTTTGGAACAACACTTAATAATCTTTAGCTGGTTCTTTGCCCCAAAGCTAAAGGTTTCATCTACGTGTGTTTCCATCTACATCTCATTATACTTGTATTTTAATGCATGTTTTTCCTCTACCTTATTATATAAAGCCACTCCCTGTCCTCTAGTTTATGGCAGGAACCAGCTGTCTTTTTTCTTCGGAAGACCTCATAAAGAAGACCTCATATGTATAAAAAAAAAATTGACATATCTGATTTCTCCCTACATAAAAATAAGACTGGTGAGCTAGAGA